GCTTTTCGCGTTCGCTCTTCCATGAAGATTGGTCTGCTTCTTTTTAACGACGCCTTCCACTAGGCACCGAAACTAACTACTACGTTTTCTTGCAGTTTTCTAAGTTCATCAGAAGATGGAGATTTTTGAAAGTGTATAAATAAGTATTATAGCGACTTTTGCAATAGTAGTTAATATTTGATGCTATTTTTTCAGAAAATAGAAAGAATTTGCACTGTATTGTTAGTGGACATGAAACTTCTTTGAATACTGGTACGTCAATCACCAAAAACTAAAAATCCAAAAAAAAATTACATAGCGCCTTTGCAAGTGGACTGCTCAAATTTGGAAACATGGATTTCCACGGGTTTTGTTAAAGAACGAACTATATTTTTATTTAAAAATATAACAAAAGTTCAATAACAACAAATATAATACGTTAAAACTTGGCAAAAAGTGGTTCTAATTTTTGACCACTGTTTGTATTTTTTATATCTTTATATTGTACATAAAGGAAGTACATAACAAAATTAAAAATATATATGCCTTTTTTTGAAGGTCCTTTTAAGTGCCTTAAAAACCTAAATTTCTACATTTCCCCCCTAAATACGGCCTTGCTAATTATGGACTCCTCTTTAAATTATGGGCCTCAGATCAACCCAGCGAACGCTGTGTAAGTGCTACTATGAGCTCTACCAGGGGAGGCCTAGGGATCTCCTTAGGCTCGCAAAGTCAGGTCTGTCAATCTTGGTGGGTGTACTTACAGGCCACTGTCCTCTCGAGGTTCACGCGGTGAGAAGGAATATAACACCAGGCCCCTTTTGTCGCAGCTCCATAGAACACGAAGGGGTGCAATCATCTCAGCACCTGCTCTCATTCTGCCAAGCTTTTGCTAGAATGCGGCTTAAGCGCTTGGATTCGTACTTTCTGACTTGTCTGGGGGTTCTGCGGGACTAGCATCTCCCCCGGTTTAAGTGGATCTTTTGGCAAGGGGTATGCAGACTAATCTAACCTAACGAACTGGAAGGTAAAAGTTGGTAGAACGCCTCCAAGTGTCTATAAGACGAAAGAGGAGAGACTGATTGATTTGAAATCCTTAGGTCAGGCCTTGCTCGTTAGGTAAGAAAGTAAACGCCATCCGGGATACAGCCCGTCCTAAGTAGATTTATATCTACTTATAAGGCTCAGCCAGCGACACGATATTATGTAGTTAGTATTTTTTTTTATTTCAGTCCATTTTTGGGTTGGATAATTCGCAATTTTGGGTCGTTTATTTTTTTTAATATATATTTTTTTAATGCAGAAATGCTCCTAAAGCATCTAGATCAGTTTTTGCATCAAAAAGAAAATTCTGAAAAAAATGTCGCTACGTTGTGATTTGTGGTTAAGGCTCGATATACCGTTCATATTCGTTTTTAAGCTTGCCTTAGCCAAAAATTTAACTAAAAAAATCCATAAAATGCCCGCAATGAAATTTCTTGGAAACCATCCTCCAACAACTGAATAGATACTGAAAACCACAAACGCTACGCAAACCGACTACGAAATCGTCTGCAACACACGCCAAAAAAACAGTTATCACCCACTACTCTCGCACACACAACACAATGGGCTGGCGATTTCCCCACCTACAGTCAGCTGGTTGCTCTCATTCGCACACACCAGCAAAACATTCGCCGTACAACCAGCCCAGAAACGCTAGCAGCGCCAACGGCCACAGCGACTTAAATTTATTTTTGTTGCTGGCCCGCCTGCCAGTTGTCGCCAGCCGTTGCTACAACATTGCTTTACTTTCAACTACACCACTACCGCGCGACCCAAAATGAAGTTAACGGCTTCGGCAGCCATCGGTTTCGTTGCCGAAATGCATCTAACGGCACGACGATAGTGTATAAGTGGCCAATCAAGTTGTTAGCCGGCCGAAGGGTGGGCGCGGCTACAGAGGCAATGGCGTGCATTGTCACTTTCTAGCGCATTCAGTAGGTGTGCTGCCATTGCTTTCGTGCACATACAAAAATGTCTACTGGAGGGATGGGAAAAGCAGACGCTGACGACGGACGTGGCAACGTACGAAGGCAATGGTGAAGACGAAGGTATGATAAACATACATACATCGATACATAGAAACTTAGCTGCCTTATTTGGTGTTGGAGCACAAGAGCGGGAGAAATGCTAGAGTTCGCTATTTCTGCATGGATTTTGGCGCTCGTTCGTGTTAACGAAACTCTTTCGATTGTACCGAATTTTTTGTGTATTTTGTATGGGTGACTGTAATGTTTGTTCGAGAAGGTGTTGGTTCTTCGTTCTTCGTTGTGGGGTACATTCGTTTTTACTTCGTGCACGTCTGTATGTAGATTCGGATTAATTATATCTGCGCAAAAGTTCATTACGGAGAAAAATCACGCTCTACAGTGGCTTAGAATACTTTCACAATAGGACATTTCTGCATGCCTTCTAACTGTTTTGTAAATATGTAATCAAATCAAATCATTGTATTTGATACTTTTGTATGGAATATCGCAGGGGATATAGCAAATTTTCCACTGATAGGCCAAGACCGGCGCCAAAAAACATAATTATATCTACAAATCCGCCTAGCACCGCAGATATTTAATCGAAGATGTGGCCTTAACATGGTTACTTGTCAATCAAAACTCTCATGCATTGTATGTTTGTTTATGCACATTAAAGTCCACGTTAACTGCAAACAGTTTAAAAGCTGAATTTCCTTTTCTAAAGCGTTTTACACAGCAACAGCGTACTACGCACTGCCGTTTTTAAGGGGATCCGAATATTTTCCAAAACACTAACGTTTCAGTCTAATGTTCTATGTTTCTACATTCCTTATTATTTACAGTATACAGGGGTTATTACTCCAACCCAGAGGAAGGATATTGAATTATTCCTATATATCTTAAGTTATCACCAATTTATAATTTAAACCATTAGATCTTCCCATTTGTTCTACAAATGAATGAACATCAAGCTGCACGCCACAAATCGGAAAAGATCGGCCTAACTTATGTGTAAGCGCCAATCTATTATTATGTATATGGGTTATTTGGGAGATTCTATAAAATATAAGATTAGTCGTTATTTTGATAAGCTGATAGTTTCTTTCGAACCGCAGAGGCTCTTTATTCGTAGCTTCAAAAAAAAAAAAAACATAGGGAACATTAAACCATTTGCCTTTCGGAGGCGGCATAAAACTATAGGTTGCTCCCTTTGTGTGACAACATAAATCGGAGGTGAAGCTTAGTCAATCACTAGAAAATGTGCACACTGAGCCAAAAGCAACACGGTTTTCTCAACCAAGTTATTGTTTGATTTTGTCATGGTAAATACATATATGTAATACTCCTATATTGGCAGTAAGAGCTAGTACCGTCCGAAAACACTACAGTACAGATATATCAATAAACACGTACGAAAGAAAAGGAACACATACGTTTATAAATAAACATGTACACGACACATTTACAAAAACGGCACTCAAGTACACAATACATTGACAAAAACAGTACTAGACTGTCTTGCTTTGATTTCGGAATGCTTACACATTGAGATGTTAGCTTACTACCAATATAGAAATATTACATATATGGCTAAATACACCGATTGTAAGAAATGTTAATCAAGTTGAACATTTCAAAACACATTTGTATGTCTGTCTGTAGCTAAAAGTGCAAAGATCTTATGTAGATAATTATTTTAGCGACGACAGAACCGTGACTGTGGTTGTGGCCAGATTAGACCTGCATATATACATATATATTATTTTCATTTTCTACTATGTAAAATTCGTACAAAAATTCCTGATGTCGCTGCCCCTTCGTCAAAGAGTTTAGATAGGTAATGAAAATAAATTGTTATGTAGTTGCTGTCCGAGGACCGTCATTTTCAATGTGTTCCAAGCATAAAGGCTTTTAAATACCCGAATTTTCTAAAATAAAATAGAACAAAATTTACAAATTATCGCTTTGGGTTTTTCTCAAGAGGAAAACATTTTTATTTTTAGTTCGATTATTTTTTCAATGAAATCAAAGAGGAATTCTTTCGATTATTAATAATAATAATAATAGATTGACGCTTACACATATGTTATTGTTTGGCCGAGCTTCTCCTCCAATTTGTGTCGAGTGCCTTGATGTTGTCACACAAAGCGGAGGGACCTACAGTTTTACGCCGACTCCGAATGACGGTTATATTTTTATGAGAAGCTTTTTTTCATGGCAGAAATACATTCGGAGGTTTTCCATTGCCTGTCGAGGGACGACCGCTGTTAAGAAAAAATCTTTTTTCTACATTTTTTGCGATGTTGACCAGGGCTTGAACCCAGGCGTTGCGGAGTGAAAGAAATACAGCCATTAAATGATGCAATCAAGCAGATTTTCTCTCTGATTTAAAAAATAAAATCTTCTTATAAATAAAATCAATGAGAATTCTCACGTTCTTCTGGGGTAACGCCTAGCCTAGAAACTTTTCTTAGAGACAATCTTCTTGTTTCCATACATCATACATATTTTTCTCTGTGTATTAGTGGGTATGGTATCCACTGTGGCTTCATAAAGTCAAGAGATTTTAGTAACCTGTGGTGCTAAAAACAAACTTCCAAGTAAGTACATAATGCTACTGTACATTATCTATTGCATTGAAAAAAAAACAGCCTAAATATTTGTTCAGGGATCACTTGGATAGGTTTATTGAATAGAAATATGACTTTTCCAATCTCATTATCTTTTCAAAACGACTTCTAGAAAATTTTTCCATTCAACTTACTTTACGAGCCCATGGTAGACATTACAACTGAAGAATGTACGCATGTATATGTGTGTGTAGTTGGGGCAAAATACTGCCAAGCCGAAGAACACACCGAGAGCGAAAGAGAGTGCCAACGAAGGAGACCACGTACGCACATCGCTGCAAACCTTTGCATTTGTATGGGCTTGTGAATACATAGATATACAGTCATTGTTAGCTGACTGCTCCACCATCGCTCTGTAACAGTAGTTTGTTGGCATTCGAATTGTGCAGTTCGTGTGGCGCGGCTGATAGCGGACGACAAAATAAATATTTGATGTTCCGGCGCGGCGCTTTTTCCTACTTTTCGGAGTGAATTTCGCTTTGGCAAAACTGAAGTGCATTGAAATTGAATGAAAACAGTAGCTAAAACGCTGACTAGCAGAAAGTGGCAACAGCGAATTGTTGTTGCCGCTGCGAAGGTATTCGAGAAATCGATAAGAAAAACAAGTGCAAAAGAAAAAGCATCGTGAAAAAGGGCGAAACAAAAGTAAATAAAAAATAAAATAAAAAAAACGAAATTGCGAAGGGAGGCAAAGGAAAGGAAAGCGGCCTAGTGCAATGTGCGCAAAGTGGGCCGCGCGCTGAATGGTGGGAGCGCAGAGAGTGTGCAACGTGCGAGCGGTTCGTGAATTGTTGTTAAAAATCAATAGAAATGTTAGTATATAAAATTTGGTTTTTTCATGGTAAAAATTTGCCGGTTACGTGTTTACGAAAGCGAACAGTTTTTTCGCTGGATGAAAGAAGTGTTTTGATAAAAAAAATTCTGTGTTTTCTATGAAATCTATTAAAGTGAAATTTGGTTGCTTTTGCAGTGCACAAATAACTTAATGTCAGCAACCATTTTTCGTACTATGCTTACCTCTATACGGGCGGGTGTGTGCGTGCGTGCGTGTATTTGAAAATTTTCAAATGGGAAAAATTTCACTTTGCATTCGGCGCTCAAGTGTGAATATACATATATGTATGTATGTATGTATATGGAGATACGCTCGTACAAATGTCAATACGTCTGTGTGAGTGTTTGTAAATTTGAACAGTTCCATATGTGAATGAGCAGCTAGAGCGGTCAAGTGAAGAGCAAACGGTAAATTAGTGAGGGCATTCATAGGCAAACACTTGAGGCACACACACGCACACTCATGTATTTGTGCGTATATATATTTGATAAGGCGCCTCGTTCGTACGCTTGACTATCAAGAACAACAAATATAAAAGTCGTCGTCGTCGTCGTCATTGTCGTCACGCATACGCGGCCACGCATTTGTAACGCGACACAGCAAGACGCCGCGCCGCGCTGTGACATTTGTTATTTATTTCGTATCTAGCCCGGCTCGTTTCGGTTGCGGTGCGTTCGCATTGGAATTTCGACAAAAATATCGCCAACATAAACAAAAACAACTAAGTATGTACATATGTACATGCATGCATGCAATGTAGACAAAATAATGTTCAAATGTGTGACGGCGAATTCGGCGGCGAAAACATTGGGTGCAAAGTGGGCGAGAAGAGCGAATTGAACGCCAAATAGTGGTAGGGGCAGTGGCAGTGGCAGCGGCACCGACGACGACGAGGCGAGCGGCGTAGAAAGTTCGCGTTCGGCGGCACACGAACTTTGCTGCTTTTCTTCGTGCCGCGGCTGCTTTTCGGCTTAAATGTGTATCTACTGCAAATTCAGAAAAAAAAACGAATAGATACAAAGCTGACAACAGATACACAGTGGATGCGCAGTACTGAACTGGCGCTAGCTGTGAGCGTAAGTAGATATTTTTCGATGGGCGGTGGTAGGCTGATAGCGGTGGGTTGTCTGTGAGCCATTGCGCTACGCTCATCAGTGAGCGCGCGGCAAGTTGGAATGGCTGATATGTGGGTTGGTTGGACACGTGGTGCGGTGGAAGGTGTGCGCGCCCTGTAAACAGAAACAAAGTAGTTGTAGAAGCGCTTACGTAGTGGTGCGTCCGTACGCCTTGTGAGAGCGAGAACGAACGTGGCGCGGCGGATTTTAAGTGCGCGCGCGCGTGAACGAGAGCGTCCGACGAGCGTCGCCAGTTACGACGAACGGCCTTCTATGTTGTGCGCGGAGCGGTTGTATGGTCGGTGGCATTTTCGATGTTCACTAGTTTCGAATTAGATGGCTGCTGTGGCGGGTAGATCGAGCGGCAAGTTAGAATCTTTCACGCGCGCTCCGTTTTTTTTTCGCTCTACCATATTCGCAGTGTTGCGGGCGCAAATACGCGGTTCAAGAAAAAAGTGTAAAAAATATGCACGCGTGTGGGTACTTGTGAACAATGTTGGCAACAACAAACTTTTGTGAGTGTAGCAACAATGTTAGAAGCATTGGAAATTAGTGCAAATATCGCTTAGTACGGCATCCAACCACTGCCACCACCGCCATAGGCGAAGAATAACAGAAAACACAGCCGCCCTAATTTCTATGTATGTATGTATGTATGTGTGTGTATGGTGTGTGTGTGTGTGTGTGTAGGTTTGGAAAGGCGCGCGCGGGCATGTTGCGTACGGAAGTGTTTCAAAGTGTGTAGGCGTTTGACGGAAGTAACGAAAAAGATGGGACGAGGCGTCAGAACTGTGAAATCGGCAGCAAAGCAGAGGCAGGAAGTAGCGGCAATTTTGCTGCTAACCAATTCTACTGCCACTTTCTTTCCTGCCTATTTCTCTACTGTTGTAAGATATTGTACCATCTATTTATGCCTGGTTTTTTCTTCGTTAATTTGCCCTCACGCTCTCATTGTTTTGGTTCGCTTGTTCGTCTCAGACTGTTTGAGCGTTGGTGCGGTCAGCAGGGGAGAAAACAGCTGAGTGCTATTGTTTTCGTATCTGCATAGGTGTGTTTGTATGTATGTATCTATGTATGAGCCTACGGGTAGTTCTGTGTGAGAACTCACCGATGTGCGTAGATATGTATGCATGTATGTACGCATCTCCAAAAGTGCGTGTAAACAAAAAGTCAACAACAACGAAGACGAATTAATAACACAATCGTTGCGGCAAATGGCATTGAAATCATTCGAACAGACGCACTGAAGTTAACATTTTTACATTAGTGTGTACATTAGTATGTATAAACATACATACACACATATGTATCTATGTATGTAGCAGTGAGGAGCCGTCAAGCAGAAAACATATGAAAGTAATAATGTTTCGCCTCCTATACGTATACGTTTGTGTGTCCGTTTGTGCGTGTGTATGTACATTATCTACCTTTGTATTGTACGAGTATTTTTGTGTTTATTATTATGATTATTATGTGCCTGTTTGCCGTCAAACACTTCACTTAATTGACGTTCGTTTGTGCGTCCGCGTCCCCGTTCGCTTCCATCCATTTGTATGAGCAAATGCACATTTATATATACACACATATGCACGTACAGCTATATAGTATGCGTACATTCGTTAATTTATTTGTAACGCGGCCGTGAGTTTTACGATCTGTTGGCGATCAATCGCTTTTAGCGCTGATCTATTAGCGATCAAACGTGCTCTGCCGCTTTTTGAGTTATTGTTTTTTTTTAGTTTTAAGTTTAAATTTTGTAATCAATAAGTATTCATTTTGGAAAACAGTTTTATAAGATCTCAAACACATTTCTTATTTACAACTTTTTTAGTAGATATTAGATCGATCTTTTATCATCTCATTATTATCTGAATGCGATGAGCGGGTCAAGACGAAAAGGCAATACAACATTGGGAGTGTTCATAAGTCGTAGTTGCTATGTAACCGTTGGCTATTTGTCTTAGAAATGCACAGTAATTGTTGGATTCAACAGTTTCGTAGCAGATGAGCTAAACAGCTACGTCTTATGAACGCGCCCATTGTTGCCAAGTAAAGGAGCTTGAGTTGGGCGTTGGAATTATAAGAGTTCGACTCCGAGTGAGATTAATTAACATATCGCTCATTTGCGCCCGCGCTCCGACGGAAGAGAAGGGGGGCGACCAAACAACTCTTCTTTAAGCGCTAGATTGTTAAGATTGTTTTGGGAATTTAAATGTCAGGGAGAGCAAACGACAAGGGAAACGAGAAGTGCATACTTACATATTTTCCGTAAAAAAGGAGGGGCCCCAAAACGTTAGGTTGGAATACTGGGTTCAGGACAAATGCCCAAAATTTGTATCAGAAAGATCTTCAGACCAAGACGAACTTCAAGAACAATCTCGGATACTTAGTGACCGATGTCCAAAACATTTATATTTAACCTTTATATGGAACACCCTGTTAAATGCTATCAGCACTGAAGATGAACTCGTTCCGGCTGTCGATGACGACAGAAACGATGTTCCACCGCCCGACTATGACGAGGTACGAATAGCAACTTCAAAGGGTAAAAGCAACAATACTGCTAGAGATGACGACAAACTGCTGGCGAGGAGAACTTAAGTGGCACGCACTGACCACTGGTATTCAAGTGCGATCTGTCCAATCCGCAAGTAGTATGTACGGCTGAAACCCACCATTAACGAACTGCTTGTATCTTGTCAGTGTGACTTTGGTTCGAACGATTTCAAAGTCTCTTTCGACAGCATGAAAAGAAGATGCCTATACGATGTCTGAATTTGGTTTTCCTGCGAAAAGAATACATCTGTATAAAATTACATTGAGCAACATTATCAGTTCCGTCATTATTGGGAAGGGCTTACAATTTCTGGAACATGTCGATGACATCGGTGTCGTTACCTATTTTCTGCCTTTTCTTTTAGATAGAGGAACTCACTGTGAGGTATTGGTGGTGAAAGACGATACAAAGAAGTTTCTTATGTCATCTAACAAGCAGTCAGTGCATGCGCATTTAGGCACCAACGCCACTGTCAGCAGTTATAATTCTGAAGTCGTGGAAGCTTCATATACATATGTATGCCATACATGCCTCTTGGCTACCAATACTACTTGTACTGAATAGGAAATTGCGGAGTAAAGTCATCTCTCGACGAACCAACGAAAGTCGCACTCTGAAGTCCTGTACTATTGGTTTCGTCACTGTCTGGAATACCATTAATGGGACGAACCTCATCTTCAAAGACCGCCAGACTCCGACACCGTTAGTATGTCAGATATGGCTATCTTTCCGGCGTTTTGATAGTTCCTTTTTACAATTGATTCTAATTGGGGAAAAGGCCTTAAAGTTGTTTGTGAAGTTATGCAATCGTTGCTTTTGTTCTATATCCGTGAGAGTGGGCTACCTTCTAATCCCCTGAGATGAGTTTTATGATACGAACAGCTATTAGACTTAAGGAAACCGATTGGTTGATAGGGGCACGGACTGTACACTCTGGAGCTCTGGTTGACTTCGATTTCATTCCTGATTCCAAGGATTACTGCGCCATCGAAATGGCTCCAAGGAGCTTCTTATTTGCCTACTTTCCTTCAAGGGAGGATTGGACGGAACGGAACAGTGAACTTATTCACGGGTGGATCATAAGTGGACGGCAGGGTTGGTGGAGAGGTATTATGTCGAGAGCTTTCCTCAACACTAATTTTAGGATTTCGGACTGCTGTAGTGTATTTCAAGGAGGAGTAGCTGCTATTAAGAAGGCAGTGGATTAACTGCTCAGGAGTGCAATAGTGCAATGACATCTAGGGACGGGAGCATTAGCTCTAATTTAGTTAAGGAATGTCTGCTCTCTCTTTCAGTTCCGTCGAAGGGCGGAGGGGGGCGGAGGGGTTCCGTTGACCGCCTGTGGTACATTCTTGGATAGATGGGCTTCAAGTCAGCTCAGTGTCTGCAGTTGCCAAGAAAATTGAAGCGCTGTATTCACCTCAGCACTACCTTCTTAAGTGCCCAGCTTTCGCGAGACTAAGGTTGAAATATTTTGGCTTGCCCATCCTGAATAACTCTGAGGAGCTCTGGGGCATTGAGACTAACCGAATTCGTAATTACATAATCGCCTCGAGACAATTTATTGAATAAGTTCAGACTGTGGGTATCGCAAGTGATAGCCTCTTAGTTTGTCTAAGTGAATCCCATACCTCTGGGACTGGCACCAAACTCAATCTAACTGATATAAAGGCATTTATAGCTGGTAGTACAGTCCAATGAACAGTACAAGGAAAGATGTTGAAGATGTGCATAAATAATAGTCATTGCTCTTATTGCTTATCACTGACATGAATATTTATAAGTCAACTCTGACATACATAAATAGTGGTCCCTTCTGATATAAACATTGTTGAGCTCTGCCATAAATAATGGCCATCTTAGTACAAGCGTTGAGCAGTACTGATATAAGAACTCCATTTACCGATGTAAATATTGTTAAGTACTGATATAAATATTTGTTGTTACTGGCATATTTACATACTATACCTGCAGTGAAATGCCAAACCAGTTAGAAAAAATACTAGTTCATAAACTAGTATGTGCCTACCAGTTCGACATTTTCAAAGAACTTAAGCGTTCAGCGCCATCTGCCTTTGAATTGTCAAAGCCTAAAATATAACGCAATTAATTGCTTTTCTTACAAATGTCGGCTGTGGCGTCACGTGAAGACTACTGGTTCTGGTTCTGGGATCGCAGGTTCGAGGCCGCTTGGAGGTGGTTAAGATTTTTAAAGTTAGATCAATGTAAGTAGGAATAATTATCTTAATTTAAATATAAATAACAAACTTAAAAATCTAGTTGCATTACAAAAAAAAGAAACAAATATATGGGAAGAAATACTTGTGCCATAAAAAAATAGATTACAAAATTTTTTTTTTTTAAATTAAATTTAAGAATAATAAAAAACCCTAAAAAAAAATAT